TGCAATAATTAAAAGAAAAAAGTAGCTATAATGTAAGGACAGAAGTATCCAAATTTATCATTATTTGCAAACAATTTTTATTACAAGAAATCAAGAGAACCAACAAAAAATGTAAGCTATTATGAGAATTTTTCTATGACCAGTTACAAAATATGAAACATGAACACCTTTCCTATTAAATAGTTTAAAGACAGTGGGGATAAAAGCCCATTTCCAATGAGATATGTTAAATAGGAAGTGGAAAAAACCTAACTTGAAGAATATTTCGACCAGAGGCCATAAAAGTATAAATGGAAGAACAGAGTAGGTTCTTAAACATAATACATCAAGTTTCTTTCGCTAATATGTAAATTTAATAGAAACCCCAATGGAAGATTCTCCAAAATTTACAAAATAATTTTAAAATTCATTAGCAGGGGTAGTGACCAGCATATCCTAGACATTTTAAAAAAGAGGGATGGTATAGGATTTGTAGTAGAGGTAAATGTGCTAAAAGGCAATAATGATGTAAGCTGTGTGATTTTAGAACAGAAATTGCTACAACACAGAGGGATGATATATAACAATTCTCAGTATCAGACCAACATAAAACACCAATTATCACTATAGAAAATATAGGTTAATATTAAAGTTCTTTTGAGAGAAATTTAAGCATATAGTTCTTCAAAAAAGAACTTAGAAAAAATAGTCAACCCAAATAGTGCAAATTAAAACTATAAATACTACTTTTTATCTTACCAAACTGACCTTCTTGTTTTAATTCTAATGCTCAGAGTTGGCAGTGCAGGGAAAGGGGACATGGGACATTGCAGGACTGAAGCAATGACCCCTATGTCCAAGGAGACAGAAAACTCTTTCCAAACAAGCCCACTTCTAACAGTTTAACCGAAGGAAAGGGCACAATGTGTTCAAAGATTTATCTACAAAGATGTTTTCTCCTCTTCTACTATGCAAAAAAAAAAAAAAAGTGAAATAACCTAAATATAAAATAGGAGGGGGCAGAGGAAAAAAGATATATATGTAAAGACACAAGACTTTCAGTAAAATGCTTAAAAAAATGAAGAAACTTTTTAAAAAATTAAGTGGGGAAAACATAACAGTCCTACAACAGAATTTTAATTTTGGTTTAAATAAACAATTATAACTGTGTATATGACCAAAAGAGAATACCCCAAATTATTACTATAAATAGTAAATAATAATAATAAATATATTATGGTTGTGTTTCATGTATTTCTTATGGAATTGGTTAAAACTACTAAATATTTACTTTTGAAAAAACCCAGATTCTGTGATGTTCCTGAACCCCAAGATTCTGTGACCCTAGTGTGCAACTCTCTTTTACCCTCCAGCAAAGCACGATGGACGTGCTGACTAGGTTTGCGGCCCGTTCAGAGCTGGGCTGCTTCACAAAGTCTAAACGAGTCCCTGGTTCCTCCAGAATGCCAGGATCTTGGCATTGATGAAGACAATATTTGTCATTTATTGTCAAACACATTTTAACATTTTTGTGTCCTAAAGGTCTGCCTCAAAGAGAACCTAAGCCATTTGGGGAGAAACCTCGTACCACACTGGCCAGATCCGAGCCTAGGCATAACATAAGACGTGTAAGCAGATTCCATGCTTAACCGAGTGGGGGGGCAGCTAAATGAAATTTAGGTCATGTAAACCTACATAAAATATTTGCTATTCTAACACTTCCTTTTAGGCCCTCTGTATATTCTTTGATGTTCTGAACCAATACTAACTCTAGTCTTATCAACTGGTATTGGTTTCAGAGATATAAAAATAAAAATTTCTAGTTATTCACAAGCAGGTAAGATGCAGGATTCAAAAACAATCTTTGAAAGTGAGAGACATGTCCATGCTCATTGCAGCATGGGTCATAAAAGCCAAGATACGGATACAATCTAAGAGTCCACCAACGGATGAATGAAGATATTGTGGTGTACACCCCCTCCCCAATATTATTCATCCTTAAAAAAAAAAGGTAGGAAATCTTGCCATTTGAAACAGCATGGCTGAACTTGGAGGACTTCATGTTAGGTGAAATAAGTTAGACACACAAAAAAAGCACTGTATGATCTCAGTAATGCAGAATCTAAAACATCAAATCCATGGAAGGGCGGTTACTGGTGTGAAGAGAGTGGGCAGGCGCTGGCTCAAAGGCATAAGGTGTCAGTTATGTAGCATCAGAGCATCCAGAGCTCTATGCACAGCAGGGCACAGTTAATATACCATGATATACACTCGAGATTTGCTGAGAGAGTAGATCTCAAATATTCTCACCACACCAAAAAAAAAGAAAAGAAAGTTTTTAAAAAAGTGTCATTGAACACTTGCTATGTCTCAGATATAGGAAATAAATTTACCAACAAAAAATTAAGTGGTAAGAAAATAACATTAAATTTCATGAAAACAAATGCTACCTTATAACTCCAGAGACAAGCACAACAGAAGAGACACAGCAGGAGAAAAGGGAAATTGTGAAGGTCAGATAAACATGCTGCAGCAACACCAGGCAGGAGTGTGGGCTAACAGCAGGGCCACCTCACAATGAGGCCTCCGCTGGGGTGAAGCTTCAGCTAAGTGACAACCCAGGTCGGCCAGCGCGAAAGGGAAACAGCCTGAAGAGGGTCATTAGGATTATTGAAGTGTTAATAACGTGAAACTTTTTTCTTTTGATATTGGAGATTTCATCCAGGGATGCTTTACCAACGAGCCACGTCCCCAGCCCTTTTTATTTTTTATTTTGAGATGGGGCCTCACTAAATTGCTGAGGCTGACCTCAAACTTGTGATCCTCATGCCCCAGCCTCCCGAGTTGCTGTGATTGCAGGCGTGTGCCACCATGCCTGGCTAATAATTTAAAAACTTCAAGGAGAAAAATGAATGGAATTATTCCATTTAGTCAAGAATGTGGTAGCTGGACATTCTCTATATTCCCACTGGGGGAAGACAGTCAGTCCCAGGTCTCTTATCGTGGATGGATTGTCTATAGGCAAGTTTGTGAAGTACTGCAGTGTGGCCAGGCAAGGGGTGACAGAAGGGGAAGAGATAGGTGTCAACTCTAAGATGAGACACATAGAGGAGGTAATAGCACCAGTATCTTCTCAGGACCCCTCTGCCCTCATAATTCAATGATTTCTTAAGAACATATCATCCTGGAGGGGTCTCATGAAAACCAAAGGGTGACAGGAAGAAAAATGGACTGGGGAGGGAGGGCGAAAGAGAAGGGGGAACACTGGGGAATGATACTGGCTGAACTGTTGTATGGTGCTCATGAACAAGATGTGACAACTAATCCCACCATGATGGCTAATCATAATGCACCAATAAAAAATAGAGAGAAAAAAAAAGCATCCTTGTACACCAGTGGTTTACAAAACCCAGAAAAAACGGGTGATAGAAAATTACACTTCTAAGAAGAGGGAAGGCAGGAAGTCTTCATTCCTCCTTCTTAATCTCCAACATTACTATGACCCTAATTAAAAATCTTTGCACCTGACCAGGAATTGGCTGATACACACATTTTGAAGTTTAGGGGGAAAGAGTACAAAAAGCCACTTTGACACGTTTATAGTTATCTGGTCTTTTACTAAATGGCCCCATCTAGACAACTGTGCTCTTTTAGTTCTTGATCCCGGCTCTCTTCTAAAGGCCATTAGTGTGTCTGTCCCTACAAATCTGGTTCCTCTTTTCATTCCCGGAACATCAAGAAATCTGATCATCTGGCTCATGAGAACTGTTGTTAAAATAAGGGTAATGAGAGAAACGCTCGGGGCCAACTCTCTAGAGGTTGGAATTGCTAAGTCTGCTGCCCTTTGCAGTGGTCCCTTCTGTAGCTGGCTTTTCGATTTCTCTGACAGGGTCTTGCTATGTCCTTCATTCAAACTGGACTTGAACTCCTCAGCTCAAGTGATTTTCCCGCCTCAGCCTCCTGAGTAGCTGGGACTACAGGTACATACCACACCTGGCTCTTATTGGTTTTCAAAGACTTTTTTTTTTCTTCACCAATTCCTTCAGCTCTTGGTGCCATTATAGTCATAAGCCAGACTTATCAAGTTCTGCAGAACTGAAGTTGCAGGGTCATTTAAATAATATGATTAATCTTTATGATGTCCCATAGTGGAATTCTTAGATATAAATATAACTAAACATATTTCTCAACATACAAAATGATTCATAAACTTACTATTGCCTCTGATATTAATCATTTCTTCTCTATTAATTTAATAAAAACTATCACTTATGAAGTTTTAATGGATGGCCCTATAGCATTCCAGGCACTGTACTAGGCGCATCACATGTTTCACTTACAGCCCGACCATAACCGTGAGTGGGATTAGCAAAATACCCCTCACTACCTGAATAAGAAAACAGAGGAGAGAGAAGGAGGTAAGTAACCACTTCCCAAGATCCCTCAGCCAGCAAGGACCGGAGCCAGGCGCACAGCGGGGTCTACTGATTTCAGACCCATCCTCTATCCAAGAAGAGAAGAAGTGCAGGTCCCTGTCATCACATCACATCTACTGGCCGCCAACTTTTTGATATTACATTCCATTTTGCTAATAAAAACTAGGATAATATTTATCATTACAGTTCAGGTCAATCAATAAACTTACTATGTTTCCATACTGCAGGAATTGCAGTGATACCTCCAATGAAGCATATTTGCTTCTTACAATTTAATGAGAATGTCACAATGTATAGCTTTTTGCTAATTTTATGTGTCTACCCCATGGCACATTTGAAGAGAATAAGGACAACGCATCGGACCGAACTAGGAAGTCCTGAGGACAGGGACAAGTTCTTATGTATCTGTATACACCCAAGGCCAAAGTACAGTAGACATCCAACACCTGATGGTCAAGGAAAGGAAGAATCAATGATGATCAAGTTCAGAAAGTAATATTTTAAGATACATGAAACATTTCTTGAATAGATAAAAGCAAGTCATGTTGTTTTTTAAAAAAAATTCATCCACAGGTGAACTCCTACCTCCCGATCCTTGAGTTTCATGGCGAGCACCAGCTGATGCCTGTGGCTGGTGAGAGCCTCCCGGTAGTTTCCTTTGGAGAAGAATGCAGAGCCCAGGTTCCCATGAGCCCGGCATTCTCCTGTCTGGTCACCTGGATTGGTTAAAAAAAAAGGATAAAATTTCTCTAAGTTATAGCATTATTTGCAAAATATAATGGTCATCTTGATTTAAGAGGCACAGATTTAGTAGCTCAGATTTCATTTCCCTTTCTCCTTTTACAAAAGGACTTGCCTCTTCCACAAGACCCTATATAGGAAGTTAACGTTCTAGAACTTAAAGCTCTGGACAACTGTTATCATTATTGTAACTTACAACCATAGGCAGGCACTTAGCTGTCCTGGAAATGAGAGGTCACAGACCTCCACATAAACCAGCTGCTGTTTAAATCTCCTCATTTCTCTGCTAATGACCTTTGATTCTGAACAATTATCAGCTTGTTGGTTCAGTCATCTGACTCCAAACCTACATAATCTACTGCTTCTTTACAAGTACCCTGATGGTAGATTCGCCATATCCTTGCTCTTCCTGCAATCTTATAAGTCCTTGAGTAATCGTCACAATGACCCATTATAGTCATAAGCCAGACTCATCTTACAAGTGAGGCACAAAGAGGTTAGGAAGCTTATCCAAAGTCACACAGCTAGTAAATATCAGAGCACTAAACCCAGCAGTCTGGCTCCAGAGTACATGCTCTTAACTTCTAAACCATACTATCTCCTTTAACAAAATGAAGCACTCTTGTGGAGGTAAAAATTAGAATTAAGACAAAAGATCGACACACCAATGTCATCATTTGGATATTAAATTTGTGAGCACAAATCTCTGGGGAAGGCAATGAATCTGTTAATCAACATCTCTTGGCCCTTTGGGAGCCTCAGTACCTTGTCATGTGAGAAGCCCTAAAGTCATGATTACTCTAAAACGGAATGTTCTAGAGACACCCTCACTGTTCACGGTCAGTGCTGTCCCCATGCCGGTCAGGCTCATCAGCCTTGTTTCCCTTCTGTGCTGAAATAAAGGAGAGAAGCGCGACTCTACCTAAGGTCTTGGCTACGTCCAAGTCCTGCTGCATGTATCCAGTGCTCTTCTCTGTGTTCCCGAGAGACCAGTACGCGCTGCTCAGGGCAGAGAAAACGGAGCCCCTCAGCTTGAGGCTGCAGGTGCCAATCTTCAGAGCGGCTTCTAGGACAACCACAGAGGCCCCATGGTGGCCGGCCGTCAGGAGCTCCTGCCCAACCACAGACACGACCACAAAGGGACTCTTGTCCAGTTTCATTTTCTGAAGTTGCTGATAAGTGGGTTCCAGGGAGTCTGAAGAAAAAGAAAACAAGAGAACCCAGGACAATACACAAAACGATCTTTTCCAGTGCCCTCTAGAAACACACGCTTAGGACCCAGTTCAAGTGCAACCCTCCAATCTGTGAGCAGGTGCCCCTCACTGACTACTCGGCCATGTGACTAGAAGCACCCGTGGGCCCTGCAGCTTCCTTCTCCTGGCTGTGACACGCGTTGCCACGCCCCTCTTCTCTCTGGGCCTGTCTGCCATCCTGGTGGCCACTTTCCCACCCCCTTCTTTTCTGGGCACTAGGAGCGCATCTTTAAGCCCCGCCTCCACTGCAAGCCCCCCAGCTCCTCCAGCCGCACTAATTCTTATATCTAAGCTTCTTTTGGTCTTTATGGTTAGCATTGCACAATGTGCCCATTAATTATTTAAAAATTGTTCCACGAATGTCAATTTTTGAAATATTTTCCCAGGTAGTCTGAGGACCACATTTGAACTGTTAGAATAACTTGAGCAAGTGGTACAACACTGGCATGCGATTTTAAAAACTACCCCTGAGCCAGGCGTGGTGACGCACACCTGTCATCCCAGCAGCTCAGGACACTGAGGCAGGAGGATCCAGGTTCACAGCCAGCCTCAGCAACTTAGTGAGGGCCAAAGTAAGTCAGTGAGACCCTGTCTGTAAATAAAATATAAAAGAGGGCTGGGGTGTGGTTCAGTAGTTAAGCACCCCTGGGCTCAGTTCCTAGTACCAAACAAACAAACAAACAAAAATCTCCCCCACACACACATAGGCAAAAGTCCCTAACATCTGATAAACATTTATTAAACTTGAATTTGAATAACTGACTAATAAAACCTGCCCTTATTTTTTTCCTAGAAGAATCGATAAAGGAAGCTCTACCAACAAGAGCCAATCACTCTCACTGGTGACCCGACTGTCCACTGCTGCTCTGGGTCTCAGAGGTCAGTCTGCCCAAATAAAAAATTACCAAACAAGACCACAAAGAAATCATCTGTGTTTACTAAAGTAAGATAGAAGATAAAATTACTGTTGATCTCATTTTATTTTCACATGCTGTCTGTGAAGGACATAGATTAAAGGTGACAAGCACAGGGATTCTCTCCATCTGAGGCTGGGTTTGAGTGCAGATGACCTCCATGCTCCTTCTCCCCTGGCTCCCTTTTGATTTTTCTTTAAAGGCAATTACAAAGCTATTAACTATTGCCCTGTAAGGAGAAGGCACTCACAGCCATTTGTTGTTAGCTTTCCTGAAAAACTACCTCACATTAGCGGTTTCAGTAAACAGGTAAAAAACTATAAGAGGATGGGTCTCTTTAAATCTTGAATCTCCTAGCCAACAGTACTGCATTAAAATGTAATTTTTACAATTTATGACTTCTCAACTCTCCACTAAGGGGCTCTCGCCTGAATCAACATTACCACGGAAACCTTGAAACTTACTGGTGCCTAAAGCATTTTTTCCCTTCAATCAGATCACTAAACAGAGAACAAAGAACATTTTTACACCTGTCAGGATGCAAGCAGTGCACAGTACCCGTAAACAGCAGCTAACCAACAGGGTTAGGCACAAACGCAGGAACCAGGAATTACTAGAACAGAACAATACCACACTGAGATGCCAGGAGCAGAATTTTGGTGGTGCCCGCTGATGAATTTGGCAGCAATGATGGTCACAGCAGCCTCCCACTGGCCAATAACAAACATGATTGATTTTTAGGGCTGAAAGACTTAAAACACTCTCTTCTGGGCT